TAAAGGCCGAGCTTATTGCTCACAGGTTATCTCATATCGTTGTTACTAATATTATTGACTAAAACGAGTTAACGAAAAGTTTCAAAGATTTCATAGGTACATTTTAAAACATTTTACATAAGAAAAATAAATCAAGAGGTAAAACTAGTCGAATCGAATAATTAGCATTTAATGAATGAGGGTGGTAGGATATGCAGATCGAGGATGGTGTTACCCACCGAGGCCAAAGGCCGAGGTGGGTACCACCCTCCGAGATCTACTTAATTCTTCATACCCAACGAAAGCCGAAATCATTAATTGCTTTATTATTCATTCAAAATAATTCCTAGTTTAAAAACATAGCTAAAACAAGCTTACCTGCATCGATGCTAAGTTTATCTTCGATAGTTTACGTTTAGGTTTGTCCAGCTGCGCAAATATTCTCCAAATAGCAGATTTCGCCCCCCGAGTTGTCTTCTTACTGTTTTTGCTATGTTTTTAGCCATTATTTCGCCTAGTTCCAGCTTTAGCTCTTACTCTTGAAACAAGTGAAGTGTCCACCATTTTAGTTTTTGCAACGAAATTGAATTATGCGCATGCTTTCAGCCAATGAGAATTGGGGAAATATTTTGAATAAACTAATGAATAATACGAAATTCAATGAATAAATATGTAAATAAATAAAAGTTGCATTACACTAGATTAACATGATCTTTTCTAAATTTCAATCGAGTAGTAACTGTCGGTCTTTGAAGATCGAGTAGTAATAAATTGTGTGTGTGTTTTTAATCTTTTTTTTTTAATCGAAAGTTGTTTCATTTTTAATCGTGACTTTCAATTGATAAGACAAGACGGGGTCCACTTAACCAGGCCCACTCGGCCTGAGAAAACTAAGATAAAAGACTATTCAGAGTATTAACGTTAATGAAGATTTAATTTTACTTAGAGTTGTTAATGTCGATAAAATAATTTGCATTTTTTTTTGGATAACAGAGTCGCACTTCCATCTTTCCCTAAAATAAATCGGTTTAGAAGAGAATTATTTACATTATGACATATCCCAGATAATAAAGCGCTATCTCCCTCACTTCCAGTAGCATGATAATATATTATACTATATTATATCTTGTACAACATAAAAGTTACCTCAAAATAATTGCTCCGTCAAGTTTGCCCACCATGCCTCCTTTTGTATTTGCTTTGTTTTTTAAACCTTGTTTTCATGTGTATAGTGTTTAGCAGTTATTTTTTATTTTCATTCAAGTTAGTGGCAGTTCTCACTGTTTGAATTTTGATGAAACAGCTCCTTTAAGGAGCTTCCGCACGCACTGCTCCCCGCTCGCGGCAGAGCAACATTAATTGCTACAGTAGTTGGAAACCTACTCTCTATTTTTGAATCCCCCATAACACACTCTGTTAACTGCCCCCCAAATTTTGCATAAAACCATTGTTTTCGAATGCTCCTGGGGGTACTGCATTTTCCCAAGAGTATTTGAAGACAATAACTAATGCAAAATTTTTGGGGCAAACAGAGGGTATTATGGGGAATCGAAAAGAGTCAATAGATGCAAGAAAATTTGGTAGCGTACGCCTGCCCTCCCGTACCCTCACTACATGTAAGCAGATGTCAAATATCACATTTCTTACTTGCACAAATTGACACCACCCTGTGAGTTATCTACACCATCCATAATATGAAAATGAATTGACAGCTGTCAAAATCAGGCATCCGCTGACAAATATTACATGACAATCTTACGAAAGATCGATTGTTTAGTCCCTGCTTACGGACATAAGACCACGTAAAAGTGAAACAGTACTATGCTTTCACCGGGTGGGGCTGTCAGTAGTTTAAATTTATATGCGTAAGCCAAATCAAAGTCAATTGAAAGCAGTGAAAATGGAACATCTGCAAACCACTATCACAGGACTCACTTGGGGTCAGGTACAAGACCCGTCATTTCGCGGGCATTTCGCTCCCAAACTGTCAGATTCGCCGTCCGTTTATTCCAGTAGTCGACATCCTCAAGAAAGATCATTTGACAGGGGTATCGGCTGACCATTATCACCTGACCTTATCGCGGGCTAATTTTGCTACCCACTGAGGTCGCGTATTTTCTATTTTTTTCCGCTGATATTTTAATCGAGGGATCATCAATTCTGTATTTGCAGGGAAACTCACATCAGGCGTGCTAACTTACGCTTGGTTTGTGTGAAGGTCCAAACATGGTCTAACTGAAAGAGTAGGTTTATTGTCATTTAAAACGTTTGCCCGGTCAGCCACGTCAGGAGTATGTTTTAGTTCTACTGGACAAATTATTTGAGGTCTGAAAACGCAAAGCAAAATCTATTTAGATAGAAGACCTCAAAAAAACAACAGCAAACTTTTATTCAGTTTCACGAGCAACGGTTCCGGCCATTGACAGCTAGTTTCAAGCCTTCCCTTATCCGCCCTGTAATTACTCTCTAGAAACCCGTGACCAATTCATTCATTAATGGCGGGAAAAAATGAATTATTTCATATACTTCACATCAACAAAAGTTTAATACTTATGGATACTTAAAACGGCGTAAAGTCAAAGGATTTATAAGTTTATAAACTGTTGACTTTGGAATAAATTGATATTAACTGTTATGTTTTGAAGGTTGTCTTGGACTTTTCGAAATATTTTTAGATATAAGCTGTATAAGCAAGCTGTGTGGTCTTGTAATGCCTATAGCGAGTGTTTTCGCGAACATGGGAACTGTTTTTTCTAGTTAGTTCTTCAGGAGCCGTGAAGATTAATTGAAAGAGTGAGATTTAAGGACGGTACCCACCAATGGGGAGTATTTTTTCCCAGATAATGACTATGTGAGAAAAGTAGATCATATCAGGGGCTATTGAAATCCAAAAAGAAAACTAGGGGTAACCGCGCATTTTTCAGAGATAACTAGGCCTCAATATGGAGAAAAACACTGAATAGGCATTTTTTCGAAAAATGATAAAAAGTTATTAATTCCCCAAATTTCAGAGTGTACAAGTGAACTGGCACAAATGCAATGATAATTGTAACAAGGTTTCAAAATAAGCAACAAATGAT